TTTCATAATAAGAATTATTTCTGTATTTGTGTACCTGTCTGTGTGTGTGTGTATATGTTACTGTAAAAGACCGAAATTAGAGAATGTTGATATTCTCCAGTGAATGTCGACACATACAAAATACGTCGGTGAAAGGCCGAATATTTGGTTGTATTATTATACATTTGAACAATCGCCGGTGTATGTTGACAAGCACAGATAAGCTTTGGTGAAGGTCGAAACAACACCCGAGAAGCCAATGTCGACAGAGAGGCGACAGTCTGTCGCCAAATTCTTCGCCGTTTCCTTCTGCTCAAATTGGTGATACCGTACGAATACAAGTCCCTGTGTCGACCGTGGCCGTACAGATGCCCGAAACGTGTTGGCGGTTGTTATTAGAATAGAAGATTCCGACTTTTATAAATTAGCAAACAAAAATGATACCCTCAAGCAGCTTTATACACGTAATCTGTTCGTAATTTGTAAAGAAAAGTTACTTTCAATAGATGAGATTTCTTCTCAAGAAATATCGCTGAGAGAAGCAGCTGCAATTAATTCGAAAAGTGGAGGGCAAGACTATACACGCTGTCATTGCAATAAGAAGTGTTCCACGATTAAATGCAGTTGTAAAACAAGGGACTCTTGTGCAATTCAAAGTGCCATAACAGTTTAAGTTGTTGCAATAAATAAGATTGTATAACGTTAATCACATAATTTATGTGTAAGTTTATTATTGTATTATTTTCTTTAATGGTTAAGAATGTACTGTTCGTTTTAGGTTCAACAGTTTATTTACATTGCTGTTACTTTAGCCTTCTCCTATCTTGACATATTAAAAAGTCACATTTTTGTCTTAATGTAATAAAAATATTTTTATTCGACATTCACCATCAGTGCATGCTGAATGTCGACATTTGCCGGTGTAAGTGAGAAATAATGATATTTAGCAAATATTTCATACATACACGAAACAACTGTGTGAATGCTGACATTTACTGGAGAATGTTGACATTCGTCAGATATCGGTCATTCACAGTAACACACACACTATAATATGGCTTTAATTTTAGTAGTACAAAAGTATGATTTGAATTTATAAATATATAGTTGTAATAACATTGGCAAAAGCTTGAGTGAATGAATCATCTGATATAACAGTTTAAATGAAGTAAATTAATGAAAATGTTTAAAAATATGAATTTTATATTATATAAATTTATTAAATATGCTATTTCAATATACTCCAAACAAAATCTTTAACACCAGTATAAACTTAATTTACTATGAGAGATGTTTTGTTCGGAGTATATTGTCATAGTATAACCATTTGTTATTTGTGTAATATTCTAATTGTCAATTTTTTATGTTAAAAGTTTATTACTGTAATTATTTAATAGCCCCCATCAACCAACAAAACTATTACATAAAATTGTTTCTGAGTATATATTTTGTTGAAATTTATCTGAAATTTTAAATAAAACTTTAATATTATAGAAATTAATAATATGTTTGGTTTTTATTCTTAATTATTATTTCTCAAATTCAATCCTTTTTTTTAATACAAAGTGAAAAGAAAAAAAAATCACTTTTATGAACACAAATTCAAAATAATAGACAATATAAAAATATTCTTCAAATATTTTAATTATAATCTTTTAGGCTAAAATATTAACAATAATACTCAGGTTGAGCAGATAATCAGTTTTACATATTACTGTATGATTTGATATTACTACTTTGATTTATTCATGTACAGTACTGTAATAATACTTCTGCATTGGGTTATGGAATACTTTGATATTAACTTAATTAATGATAACTTAAATCTGAAAATTATTTAATTCTATAACTTAGAGAATTTGGCAATAAATATTTATAGTTGGCTTACATGTAACCAAATATTCATTACTATATTATTATTATTATGGCTTTGGTGAAATGTATCCTACTTATTATTGGTGGTTAGTACTATACCAAACCAAGGTCAAGGCATAGCTACAGAAAACCTTACTGTAGCTATGCAATGTCTGTTTGACTGATTTTTGTAATATGATGTCTATACTGTTGTTAAGGCTTATTATTTTCAGATTTTTGTGTAGTGGTATGATACCTGTACAAGAATGGGTCCTTTCTCCACAGATGCACAAAATGAGTTCTGAAAATTTCCTAATTTTTTCAGCTTATGTATTTTGTATAGTGTGGATGTAATGTGATTCCTGAGTATATAGTAGTTTGCATTTGTGTGCAAGCTTTTAATTTATTATTCTTTGCTATTTGGTTGTGTTGATGCAAATAGTCTGTGCCAAAAGCTAGAACCCAATGTGCGGCCAATTTAGAAATATGGCACCGCTAGACCTAAGATATGCAGGCATTCCCAGATACCAGTGCCATTTTTCCACTGAGTGATTCTATTATATAATTTTAATTCTACATTAACTGATATTTAAAAGTCTATAAAATGACAAATGGACAAAGGGCACTGCTATTGAAAACCTATCATAAGTACCACCACTCAGTTCTTAAAAACTATATTCATATATTTTTTATATACAACTATAATTTTCACTAATTCCTTTATGAATTTTCTACATAAAATTATTTTTCGTTATTTAATTGTTATTGTTTTGAATTTTTGCATCCCTAGACTGGTTTAGTGGGCCTAATTGGAAATGGTGTCTTTTAAGATGTGTTTTCTGTAGTTTTTTTGTATTTGTAGAAATCCTTCTGTCCTTCTAAAGAGACAACCACAAGTCAGTCAGCAGTTTGATACAGTTATGTCATGTTAATGTGATCCTGGCTGAGATTTTTAGGCTGTCTAAAGTGGCGTTCTTTCCAACCCAAGACTATCTGATGGCATCTGTGTATTTTGTGTATAATGATATAGGAAATCCTCGTTAATTCAAACTCAAATAGTTTGTAACTACTATTTGTCCTGTCCAGGGATATAGATTTACACATTAAGGAATTTGGCTACTTCAAAATTTGAAGTGAAAATTCTGTCTAAACTGTGATATGCTTATGTTAACTCGTTCATTTAGATCAAAATGCCTCCACACTATAAAAGAACAATAGACCAAGAACAACTCTAATCTGGTTAACATGGAACTTTGTTTTTACGGCTTTTACCCTTTTTCTCATTTCTCATAAAATACAGCTGAGTTTTAGGATTTCAAGATTGGGCTAAAATAGCAAATTGAGATATTTGTAGTTCTCTAGGCTACTAGATTTGAGCAACTTGCTACTTTTTGGGCCTCTTTAAAAGTAATTTGGGCTACACTTTCAGGAATTCTGCTTTACTTTTTATAAAACCTATCTGGCAATCTGTGAGATTCTCACTGGACACATGCCATTCACTTGCAGTTTATTTATACTATTATTACAGTAATTATTATTAATTAACAATAATAGTTTTCTGCATATGTAGCCATATTCTGTTTGCTTAATAAATTACATTAGTTACATGACATTTGGCATACTATGCAGAAATATATAAATCTTGGATAATTCAAAGTTGCAATTATTTTGTCCCTTGACTTTGAAACTAACAAGGATTTCCTGTATACTGTTTTTGTCAGCAAGAGTTACTACTTTCTGTAATTGTGATGTTTTGTCATATGGATACATAATTGAATTAATTATTATTTGGAAATAATTATACTCTCACTATCTTAATAATGCTTAATTTTTATTGCAATTATATTGATATGTATAACAATATTTTTAAATTAAAGTGTAAATTAATTTATGATTATATGCTTTAAGACTGGGATATATAATATTTTATAGAAAATACTGAAAGATTAATGAGTATGATTACTGTGAATATTTAGTAATAATTTTAAAATAAACTTAGTCTGATAGGTTTGATTTTTATTTTTCATATAATATTAACTATTATTTCTTTAAATTTCAATATACTATTAAAATTAACAAACATACATACATATAATACTTATATCTTTCAAAAAACAAATACACAACATTAACTGATTACCTATTATTTCATAGAAACACATACACAACAATGAACATAAAAAAATATTTGAATCTCACCATCAGAAGCTCCATGTATTTATGAAGGCAGGATAGGAATGGTGGAAAGTCAAAGGTCAGTGAAGTCATCAATCTCCAGCCCTTGACAAAAATCAAACCTCCCAACCAAAAAATTATGATAACAAAAACTGAACAGTTAATTTATATAAAAAAGTCCTCCTGCCAAAAATTTAATCAAAACAAAAAAAGGAGGAAACAAAATAATAAAAAATAATAATTTTTTGTTTTAAAAAACAAATTAAAAAAAAAATAAAATGTCTAAAAATTGAAATTTTATCAAAATAAATAAAAATAACAAAACAAAATTTCCAACAAACATAATGTAATAATTTTAAAATGCAAATCTAATATTAAATACTTACTACTGCATTAATAAGAACTATGACAAATAGTTTTTGTAATGAAATAATATTTTTTGTGAAACAAGCATATTAACTGAATAACTGTGAATATTGCATTTGTGCTAGGTGAATGTGCATTTTTGTATCTGTGATCTGTAACTAAATATTCAAAAATATAATTGCTTTTTAATCATTTGAAGGAAAAAAGTTTAGTACTAATTACTGTGAAGTGCACATTATGCAACTTTTTCTCTTTCTAGTGCTTAGGATAAATATTATTTCACTACACACATTAAAAGGAACAAAATATTGTTGTACTAGTAAATAAAACACAGTTATTAATTGTTTTTTAAAAATTTTGAACTTTTAAGTAAATTTTTTAAAAACATTTTTTTAATCATAAATATTTTGTTCCAGACTTAAAAAAGAAATTAAATGATTAAAATTTAATTTGTATTAATATTTTACTAAATTTCATATATTTGTGTATTAACAGTAAATTATTTTATGTATGCTTATTGTTTGAACATGCAGTGTGCAAGTATTAATTTTAACTGCTGACCTGATCAAACAAATTTTTCACTTTTAAATTATAATGCATTACTGTGATCATGCATGTGTAATTACCGTTGTCAAAGTAAAACTTGTGGAAATCCATTCCTTCCACCAAATTACCTAGGGCTTCAGGTTCAAATGCTGTCATCTGAGGATCACAAAATTTCCTAAAATGAGAAGTAAATATAATAAATTAAATTGAATTATATCAATAAACTATACTCATAAAAATTATTAAGTGTTTAAGTAACAAATGGAAAACTTTATAAAAAATTATTCAATTTTGAATAATAATAAAGTTTTTTAAAGTCTCTTTCTGTTGTAATTAGATTGAATAACTTTATTTATTATAAATCTATTACATTCTAAATTTTGATGATTTGATAGCATAGTTTAGGCATTATAATAAGCAAATTTAAATGAAATACTGATGCTTATTAAAATACTGAATAAGTAATATTGTGATATAGAACAGTATATTACTATATTATATCGGTTGCAAATATTTAACTCCCCCTACAACCTCTCAAATTTTTTGTACACCTTTCTGTTACATCTTATATACACTTAAAGATGAGCTGAAGGGCTCAAAAGTATTGGAACATTCTTATTGATTTTTTTATGACATTGAGTTCTTCAATGTTATAAAAACAAAAAACTTGAAATAAAATAATTTTCAACTATATTCTTTTTTAAATAATAATTTATTTATACCAGGGGTGTCCAACCTTTTTATTCCTCTGGGCCACATTGGAAGAAGTCATGGAGTTTTGTGCCACAAGTGTATATAATACAGTCGACCCCCTATAACACTTGATAATTCCGTTTTATATGAATTCCATGTTGTACGAGTCACTTAGATTTTACAAATACGTGAGCCATTCACAGCCCGACACATGTATTTGTAAAATCTAGTGACTTGTACAGCATGGAATTCATATAACACGGAATTATCAACAGTGTTATGGGGGGTCGACTATATATTTGTGACCCAATCCTTAAATATAAAAGTATATTTAAGGATTAACAAGTAGTGATGTAGTGAATATTTGGTTACTATTCGGTATTCGGTCTATTTTTCGCTATTCGACCGAATACCTAAAAACAGGAGTAAGAAATAACAAAAACACAGTAAATTAATCATTTTGGTATTTAGATTTAATGTTATTGGGTTAGCGTTGTTTGTTTATATTTATTTATAACTTGTAACATTCACAAAATAAAAAAGAAAATAATGTTAGTCACTTGTATTCACAATTTATAATTACAAAGATCAGCACACGTACACACCTATTCGTTCGAGAATCGTCGCACATCTGAGGGTCTGACCCTGCCTATCCTTCTTTTTAAGCGCTCGTCTTTGCTCTTCCCTCTATTGCTCTAGTCCACGTATGCCTATGCATACATCATAATATGCCCTCACGATACTTTTGATTTGTCACTTTTCCGTCGTAGATTTCCCATTTTACAATTACGTGACTCATAGTCTGGTGATAACAGAAAAAAGAGACAGATATGACGTCGGTATAAGTCACAGTTATGATTTCACAGATTTGAAACAGCTTGGTAGCCCGAACGACTCCAGGCTTTCGTCCGTGCACGCTAAGTGACTTTCATTACAAGCATTTAGCTTTCCGAAGTCTATGACAACAATTGTTTGGCATTCACACCATGAATTTCATGCCAATAAGCTGCCTCGACTTGTTTGAGGCAGCTTATTGAATTGATAGCATAATTAACTTGTTCGATTATGTTATCAACTCAATTTCATATTTATTTTCACATTTTCACTTTGCGGTCCTTCTCTGTTCTTCTTCTGTTATTTACACATATAGGTCATTTCATTGTTATCCACATTTGATATCATCACTTATCACATACTGCCATGACGTTCTTGTCTGAACTGTCAATAATTAACACGATTGGCGAAGCGTAGTGACAGTGGGCCAATAGAGAGCAGGGTCCTCGCCATAATGCGGTTTGCACGCCAATTTTTGTATGTGCGTTAATCAAGCCGAATATTCGGCTATTCGGCCATGTTCCTGGCCTTAGATATACTATTCGTTGCAACACTATTAACAGGTCTAGATTATAGTAATAAGTATTAAAACTTTATCACGAAAAAGGATATTTTAAAAAATTACTTCTATAGACACTTTCAATTTTTACTCAGAAATAAATAAATTCATTTATTATAAGGGAGACAAACAAAAATTTATTTGAAAAACACAAATATTTGTTTTATTTGGGTCTCTAATTTATAAAAAGTGACGAAACAGCACTTTAAAGTGCATTTTTATTCGACTAATACATTTATAAATAATATGTAGCCCAGAAAGTAGCCAATGCACCAAATGATAATTTTTACACCAAACTAAAAAAAGGGTAGCCAAATTTGGTGCAAAGTAGCCAAATATTGCAACACTGGAAGGAATACTAAATAATGCTGGAGTTGGAACTCAAAGGATTATAGACCCAAATTTGAGAAAAAGAGAGAGGGGCCAAAAGATAAAAAGTAGTGAGAAAAGTTAAATAGACCTTCTGTTATGCAAATATTGACCCTTAATTTTCCAACCTTCCTCACTACTTTTTATCTTTTGGCCTTTTTCTCCTTTTCTCAAATTTGGGTCTATAATCCTTTGAGTCACAACTTCATCTTTTATTTAGTATTCCTTCGTCATCCACACATCTCCAAGTATTTGAAAATATTTCCTTTTCACTCAAAAATAAAATATGTATAAAAGTTTATGGCTTTGTGAAACTTCTTTTTTGAGTTTATGCCATTGAAATAAAAAAATAAAACAATTTGTCGGTTTTGTTTACACATTTATTGGGCCACATTGGAACTTGCCTTGTGCCGCCACAGGTTGGACACCCCTGGTTTATACTGTACTTGTTATATGAAATATTTTGCTAATATAAATATTATACTTTGCTGTGCTATTTTTCAACACTAAATTTTAAAAAATTACAAATATACTTACGTGTACATTTCAAAATCGCCATTACTGATGGCTTCTATCACTTGTTCTGTAATTTTGATTATCTCTTGTTTTCGTGCTGAAATATAATAATAAAAAAACCATCAATATGCTGTTTATTTTATGATTAATTATTAATTTTATATTGTTATATTTATCATTTTATATTTTTAATATATAATACAATGCTTAATTTGTTGACATGAGGCCCCAGCACACTATGGACAATATCAGGGATAGTGAATCTATAGTACACGTGCTCAAGTGGTAAGTCAAGAGAAATTATCTGGTACACAACATATGATTCTGTTTATTTTTTTTACTGCTAAATTTCAGTTTTTTCATAGTTTTATGTTCGGTTCAGTATATCATCATACTTGTCTCAATCAGCTTCTTTACATTTATTCTAATTAAAGCATATTCATTACATTTATTTATTTGAAAATTGTTATTTGTAGTTTAAAACTTTGGCATGCAACATTTTAAAAAATAATTATGCTTATTATATGGCATGTGGACTCAATAAAAGTTTGTCATCCCTGGACTCAAAATTATCTACAGTGGGATTAATTGGCTGATGAAGAATAAAACTTGACATATTTGGTCTATACTCTAATGAAAAATTCTGAAGGTTTTGTTCCAGATTCAAATTTGTGTCCTTAAGGGAACAGATTTTCACTGCTATGGACATCAGGTAACCATAAAAACATGACAATAATGAATATTACATAAGCTTCAAGTAAAATTAATTGTGTTTTGTATCTTCAATAGTGACCTTACTTTTCTTAGATAACTTATTACTGGAAAGATGATGTAAATTTAGGGTATCTGTTTATCAGTTGCCTAATATAAATGTAAACGTCTGAATATTTAAATATACATATAATTTCAGTTAATTCACTTCTGTAAAAATGAATAAATATCAATAAATAGTCTTGTATGACCATCCCATAATAAGAAAAACAAACACCCTATTAAAAAACCACATAAAGAAAAAGGTGTAAAAGATAAAAATAACAATACAAAAATTGAAAGTAGCAAAATTTAAAATAGAAAGACTATTTAAAAATTCATTAAAAAAAACCATTAAGACTCAGTAAATTCAGTTCTATTTAACTAATTGAATGTTTATTCTAAACAACAACAACAAGACTTACTATGAATAAATAAATGCATCTGCTATACGTTTTAAAAAATAACTTTTATTTGTTTACTTGAAAATACTCTTCTTTTACTATGATATGCCACCAACAAGTACAAAAAAGAAAAAATGTATACTCCAGAGCCAATTATTATTATCAACATTTTACAATTTTTAAAAATAGACATTTGCTACTGTAATCCAACTTTCTCAGCAGAGCATTAATATTATTTTATAAAATTTGTAATAACTCATTAGAAAGTTACTTTCATTTGTCATAAATAATGTTTTCAAATTTCTAATTGATGATCTACATGTCATAATGTAGAAATAGTAAATAAGAACATAATATACCATGTTTGCATTTTTAACTGTAACTAAAATATGGTATCTTCTAATAATTTCAGAAAACATATTCTCGTTGTTATATAACAGACGTATATGCATAAAGTCTTATTGGCTTAGGACACCACAAATAAAACAATTTTTATTCTTATATATAATTCCATCAAATTTTCTTATGGGGGGGAAAAGACTAATTTGTAAAATTTGAATTTTTCAGATTTTTTGAATTATATGATTAGTTAAAGCTAATTCTTTAACTAATCATATAATTATTAGTTATTAACCTCTCACAATCATAGTTTTCTTTAAAACTATGATTGTGAGAGGGAGCAATCAATCTGGTTATTACAAAACTTGGCAGTAATGGTTTCAATATATAATATATAGACTATATTTTTCTTTTATCTAAGAAAGCTTTGGTATAAGGAAAAAAATACTTGATGCTTTTGAGATTTTTTAAAACATTTCTTATACTTTTATTTTCAATAAACTTAAATAATATGTTGCCTTTTAATTAAAACAAATGTTACTAGGAAACTATTTGAGAAACAAATATTTTAATTTTTGGATTTAATTTAAAGCCTATAATATATAATGATGCAAATTTAGTTATGGTAGCTGAATGATTAGCATTTCATTTTTTGATGCCCTTGGAAGACAGATTATTTTTTGGAAACATTTTTTGATTTCCCTTCTCTTTCTCTCTTCATTTATTTCAATTATTATTTTAAATATTTGGAACAGATAAATGTTTTTGCACAGTTGTAAAGAAGACATAAGTCGAAGTGTTATTTTTATGAATAAATATATAATAAAGTCTATATACATTTGAATGAAAAATATAAAAATAAAGGAATCCAAACATACTATCATTAGTTTTTACAGATTTGGAATTAGAATTTTGCAAAGTTATTCAAAAGCCTTTAAGTATTTAAAAGATTTGAATAATTTTAAATATTTGTTCCAGCTTTATTTTTATTTTATTTGAAGGCATAGTAAAAAATAAAAGTACAATAAAATAATTATTTAAAAGAAGGCAGAAAAGACATTTAATGGATAACAAATTTGTGCAAACTCTTGTAAGAGGGTAAATCTCATCAAACAGGTGTCAATTCTTCTAGCTTGGCTTCACAGATATTATTAGTCATATCCATGGATAAAGGTCCAGGTTTTCTCTTCTTTTATTTAGGAAGTTCTGTAGTGATTACAATAAGTTCTTCAGCAGTCTGAATAGTTGTCTAGTGACAGATAATGTAATTTTAGCATCTTGCTAAAAAGATGAGCATTCCTGTTGGAAATTAACTCTTTGGTAAGCTGAGATCTTTGCTATTTTTCATCATCAATGAAATTTTGTATATGCTAGATAGAATGATAGACATACTATCTAGATCAGGGCTTCTTAAACTATTTTTATTCACAACCCCATTTATGATTGTGATTTTTTTCGTGATCCAAAAAATATAAAATAAAGATATATACAAATTTGCAAAAAAACAATAATGGTATACTACCACAGTTCACTCTTGTGTTACAATGGAACAGAGACAACTGAATACACTGAAAAGCGACAATACTACTACACTAGTTCACACTACAATCAGTGTTGCTGAATCGTTGTCTCGCTGCACCAAAAGTGACATAAAGCGCAACTCACGAAACCTATGACACACAGCGTGCCATTTTCAAACTCTCACAAATTATTTTCAATATTTTGCATTAAAATCTTGGGATCACAAGATTTCTTTAAGCAACCCATAGTTTAAGAAGCCGTGATCTAGATGATAGTATGTGGATTTCTTCATTACTACAATATTCTGTTTTTGTCTGCTTTCAATACATTGATTTCATTCTCATCTAGCCATTTTCTGCCCTTTTGACAAGTCATATCAGAATTGTATGACTTGCAGAAACTTTTCTTCCACCTATAGAACTCCTTATGTTTTCTTGCATTTAGGTGGAAGGCAGCTTTCTGCATGAAAAACAAAGACTAAACTGCAAAATATACAATCCTGATGTGACTTGTCAAAGAGCAGAAAATGGCTACATGAGAATTGAATCGGAGTATTGAAGTAGCCAGCTAATAGTTCTTTTGGTATAGCATCTTTTTTCATTTTTACCAGGTAATAGACAATAGATTGGCAGATTATAGTAATTTTGATTTTTTTTTGTTTTTGAAGTGCTTCTGTAATAATCTGGAGTCATGCCCATTATTTTGAGGTCCTTGACTTTTTTGTCTCTTCTGGCATGCCATTGGCTTTTGCTAGTGAAAGGATCCTGAAAAGAAAGCTGGAGGAAAAATAATGGATTAGCAAGCATGAGAAGCCAAATGACTTACAAGAATCCAAACTAGAGTAACTAACCAACCAGTCTGATGAAATTTATCCCTCAAAAATTGCCACAAAGTTGGGATCTGTTGGATGTGTTTTATGTTCACTTTTAAATAATCCAGCTTTATCTTTTACTTTTTTGTTTTTGGTTTTATTTTCCACTACTTGTTCACATATTTAAATAAGTTATTTAAATCTTCCAGATGTTGAAAAGCTTTAGGAAGCCTCTTACACATTCAAGTTCCAATTGTAAGATCTGATGATGAGATGTTTAGTCCTAAAGAACATTTAATCTCAAATAAAATTTTGATTCCTCCATATAGTTTATCATTGTATTTTTCTTCTTTGTATTGAGTCATGTAATCTACTTATTGTAAATATAAAAATAATATACAGTAGAAAGTCATTAATCTGGCACTCTCTGAAATGGAACCAATAGTAAAGAATAATCCAGCTAGTATTCCAAAAATTAAAAATTACTTGGCCATGTGGTGTGAAAATATTATTATAGTACTATATATGCACATGAATTATTGTAAATACTGATTTTGTGTAATGTTTCCTTGACATTTTTGCAAGTTTTTCAATCAATCTTAATTTAACACAGTATAGTGAACTATCATCTTCAGATTGATTATAAAGAGCATGTATGGACAAATCAAAGCGCATAGCAATCTATGCTGGTACATAATGTACAATAATTGTCTGAAACATTCAAATAGTATATAACTTTTCAAATTTGCAAAAATACAAAATCATCCAGCATCATTCTGGTTCTATGGATGCCAGAGTAATGAACTTTTGTAAAGTTTTAAGTAAAAAATTAATATATAATTTAACAATAATATATACCATAAATTTGTTCAGAAATAGATGAATAATTAGTATATGACCTTGCCATTTTTTTTATTTCAGCCTTAATTCCTTATTTAAATAATTTTTGCTATTAATGTTATCATACAATAAATTCATTGACTTAACAATAAATAATTTCCTGTTTACAGCTAAAATTTTTAAAAAGAGTAAGTTAATATAATAAATATTTTTATAATTCTCCTTTATTTTTTTTATTTGAGAGATTGTAAAGATAAGTACTGTATTTCTAATAAATTTTTTATTCATTATTGCTATCTTTATTAAATATGTTCCAATATATAATGAGATGATGATGGATAAAAGAAATTTAATACTTTAATTTAATTTTTGTTTATCATCTATATGTTGTTTATTCTATACATCAATTGATTAAAATTCTAACAGTAAACA